CGGGAACCCCACCCGGTCGCCCGGCGGGGGGGTTCCAGGGTCCGCGTCGAGGCAGGTTCGTCCGTTGGTCCCGGTGGCGAAAAACTTTTGGGCGCTGCTCACAATGCTCAGCAATGCCCCGAACTTTTACCCCAGTTTTTGGGAGACAGGAGGGGAGGGTCACCCCTCGAGATTTGGGCTCGGGGTTGCGCAAGGAGGTTTGTCCTATGTCCACTCCGCCTCCACACACAATCACTTTGTCCAGGAAAAGGGTCCGCCTTTAAAGGTGCCCTCCCGGGGGGTCTATAAGACAGCTACACTGCCCTTTCTCTAGCCCCTTGTTCTAGCTGCTCTGCACCGCGGGCCGCATCCCCCCCCCCCCCGCCCTCCCCTCCCCGACTCCTCCCGCCGCTCCTCGTCCCGCTGCGGGCTGTGCTGGTGCACAGGGACCTGCCCAGGAGACAGGGACGTCCTTAGGGGGCACTGTGCCCACCGGGCGCCTCCCACAGTTCTCCACACACAAAATGTTCAACAAATGTCTAGGGAATTTACAAAATAAAGCCCAAGATGAAGTGACGAACTATTTTTGAAACCTGGTAAATCCAGGGAAAGAGCTAAATGCTCCTTCTGCCTTTTCTAGTCCAATAAGCAGTGGAGGGGAGTCCGTCCAGCGGGCACGGGACGGGATGGCAGTGTCAGAGCCCGTGGCTGATGCCACCACAGCTCCATCCGAGAGCGGGAATGTAATGCATGTACGCATTACATGTGTGAGGCAAGCCCAGGCAGCACTGACTGTGTTTGGTGAATTTTAGGAATCATCGTTAATTTTTCAGGTGTGAATGGCTTTGTGGTTATATATAACCAAGCTATGTCAGTCGGGCTATATTTTTAATGTTTATATTTTAGAAATACAATAGAAATATTTACATATGAAATTATATCTGGGATTGTCTTCAAAATACTATGGGTGGGGAGGAGGGGAGAGTGCAAGTGAAACAGGGTGGGCATGACCTGATCCTTGTTAAAGCGGGTCATGGGTACATGTGGTTCATTATAGTGTGTCCTGGGGGAGGGGGTGGGGGGGTATGTTTTAAATTCCTCATAACGCAATCAGCTGGGATTTAGTTTTGTCTTGTGTTTTTAAGGAGAACCAATAAATCCCAAGGCCCAGAGGCCAGAGAGAAAAACAGAGGGACGGAGAGAGCATGCGCGGCTGCTGACGCACCTGCACGTGGTGGCCCAAGTCCTCCTGGAAGAGCAGAAAGGAGAGCAGCCCGCCCCGCGTGAGGTCCCCGGCCAGGATCTGCCGCAGCCCGCAGTTCAGCATCAGCACCTGCATCGCCAAGTGCAGCATCTGGGAGGGAGAAGGAAGGCGGGGCTGAGACAGACTCCTCCCGTTCCCTCCGGTCCCAGCCCCAGCCCCTGCCCCGTCCCTGTCCCTACCACATGGAGCTGCAGGGACCCCTGGAGGTTTCCAGCCACGCCCCCAGGCCTCGCCCCAGGCCACGCCCCCGGCTCACCCTCCGGAAGAGCAGATAGAGGGCCCTTTCCAGGTCTCGTTGCCACCACAGCTTCCGGCACCGTTCCAGGGCCTCCTCGTAGCGACAGGCCTCGTGCTCCTCGGCCCCAAAACTGCGCACGGTCTTCAGCCCTCCAACTGCCTCCCGCACCACCTGCCCGGCCTGCGCCACCGCGTCCTGGATCTCCAGAAGCACCGCCTGGAAACGCGGGAGGAGATGCGGGGGTTCGCGCGCAGTGGCATCCCAGGCCCCGAGGCTGCCAGTCTGCCCAGGAACACAAGCTGACTTCTTTCCCTCTCCCTACATTTCCCGGAGGAAACGCGCGAGGAGGGAGGGAACAAGGGAGCAGGCACTGTCCTGCTGGTGAGAGAGGGGGACACACACTATTTTTCCCTTCATTTGAGCTCATTCGCACCCCCTGTGTCTAAACAAGAGAGTAGGGGTCGTTTCCCAAGGAGCCACAGCTTCTTAACAGAAGGTGGAGATGTAACTTAACATGGACCAGAGACCGACCGGGGGTGTGGCTCAGTGGTTGAGCATCAACCTATGAACCAGGAGGTCACTGTTCGATTCCTGGTCAGGGCCCAGGTTGCATGCTCAATCCCCAGTGTGGGGTGTGCAGCAGGCAAGCCGATCCATGATTCTCTCACATCGATGTTTCTCTCTCTCTCTCTCCCTCTTCCTTCCTTTCTGGAATCAATAAAAATGTGGTTTTTTTTTAAGGAGAAAAATTCTGACACATGCTACCACATGGATGAACCCTGAGGACGTTATGCTACATTAAGTAAGCCAGTCACTGAAAGACAAACACTGTATGAACCCATTTATAGGATACCTCAGTAATCAAATCCATTGACAGGAAGTACAATGGTGGTTGAAGGGACCAGGGGGAGGGAGGGATGGGATTTATTGTTTAATGGGTTGGAGTTTCCGTTTGAAATGAGCTCTGCAGAGCGCAGTGGTGATGGTTGTGAGACAGGCCAGTAAGCCAGGTCAAGTGGAATGGGGAAACTGAGGCAGGGAGCTGGACACGCTACAGAGCAATTTACAGCAGATGCAGAAGGTCCCCTCCCTAGAGACAGCATCTAGGCCTCAGCTGTATTTCAGCTCCAGGCTCACAAAGGCAGCAAAGCCAGGTGGGCAAAGCCAGGACCAGCTGTGATGACTGATGGCCCCCTGCCCTGACACTGACCCATCGGTGGAGACCATGGCCCTGAAGGAGCCCACCTAGAAAACTGAACCACCCCCCCAAACCCCAAGACCTCCCCTAAGATTCCTGCCTGTGAGAAGATAAATCCTCAAGACAAAGGACCCAGCATGGGCTCTCCCTCTGGGAGCAGCCCCGCCATATCCTTTCCCCTCTTCTTCCCCCCACGGCGTGCACCTCCTGAACCCTAAAGAACCCCACAAGGCTTGCAACCAGGGGAGCAATGGGCAGCGGCAGCTCATCCCAGGCTAATTCCCTGAACCTGCCCCCAAGGCCCCTTTTCTCTGACTCCCCAGAGAGCTAGGGCAGCCCAGCCTGGGCTCTCTTGTAGCTTCTAGGCCCTTCCTTGTTTTACACCCACAGCTATAATAAACATTCCCTCATAGTCACCTGGACTCATGTTGTAAAATTTTCCTGCACAAAGTCAAGAACCCACACACTGCTGGCCAGTCCTAGGCAGACCTGCTTGGGGCCAGGTTCCCTTCCTGGAAACGGTGGTACAACAGTGTGAATGTGTCTAATGCCACTGAAAATGGCACTTAAAAATAGTGTAAAGGGGGAATTTTTCATGTTTATGCATATTTACCCCAAATTTTTGGAAAAAAAAAGGAAGATGGGGCTAAAAATGGTTGCACATTCTACCTGCTCTACACTCCTGCTGATTATAAGGGGGAAGCGCTGCCTAAACCCTCTCAGGTGGCAGTTTTAACCTTTTGTGGGGAAGGTATGTGCACACTCCTCTGAGAATCTGATGAAAATTACCCTCTCCTCAGAAAAATGTGCCTTCCCTCCATCCTTCTCTCTCTCCTCCACCTCCCCCGGCCCCCGCCCCCCTCCCCGCACACGCATACAGTCCCAGGGGTCATGGAACTTATGGAGCTGCCAGAACTGCTGCCCTGAGGGCTGAGAAGAGACCTCTAGGACTGGTTCTTCCCTAACCGCCACGCATACCTGATGGCGGCCATTGTACACCTTTTCAGCAGCTATGGTGAGAGGCACCTCGAACAGAGACAGGAGGGTGAGTCGAGGCGACAGGTTGAGCATGAAGCTGTACAGTCCCACCACTTTCACCAGGCTCCGCAGGAGCACGTTGGCATTAAGAGGAAGCCAGGAACTCATTAGTTTGGTGTCCGAGTTCAGCCGCGAGTTCAGCTCCCCTGGGAGGACAGAGCAGGTGAGGAAGCCCTGCACAATGTAGACCCAGCAACTGCCCCTGACCCTCCCCGCTGACACAGCCGCTCCTCTGAGCACCTCCTCCATGTGCAGGCCAGGGGACAGACTGTGTGCGGTGGAGGGGAAGCCCACACCTGGACTCCAGGCCCCACCTGTCTTAGTCTCCTGGAAGAAACTCAGGTCCTGGTGCAGAAGGGAGGAGAAGAGCTGCTCCCGGATCCGCAAGTTGATCCTGGACATGGTGAAGAGGAAGCAGCCTCCTCGGCAGCCTGCGGACAGCGAGCTGCGGGGTCGAGAGGGAGGAGGAAGGGGACCGAGAAGAAGGTAGGGAATGAGTGAGGGAAACAAAGAAGAAAGCACAGAATGAAAAGAAATGCAAAGTTGGGGGAAGTATACCAGGACAGGCAGGAGAGAAAGAACCAGACAAGGACAGTGGCAAGGGGGGCAGAAATAAGCAAAAGACAAGGGGAAAAAAAGGCATGGTGAGCAATACTCAAGAACAAAATCCTAACTCGTACAAATTCACCAGTATTTATGCCAGATGCAAGGGAAGAATACAATAGAAGTGAGAAGATGTTGTAAATAGAGATCGGCTGTGGCTGCCTGGCCTCCCCCAGCTATCCCTCCAGGCTTCCCCCCTGTCTCAGTCTCCTTTCTCCCCACCCCAGAGTCCTTCCTCCTCGCCCGGGTACTTCTCGGTGGGAACCGCCCTCTCGTCCCTGAGCCTAT